TTTTTTTTTTTTTTTTTTTTTTTTTTCAGTAACAATTTAATTCTAGAGTGTGAATATTATACCTGCGGTAGTATGAACTGTACTTGTTTTGCTTTAATTTTGCTAGGTAATGCATTCCTTTGTAAATGTAGTATTAAGTGGGTATGTGCTGAATTTAATGGCTAATCAGGGGGAATTAAGTGGGTATGTGCTGAATTTAATGGCTAGTCAGGAGATATGTAGAAAAGTATTTGGGTCACGTTAACATGCCTTAAAATACTAAAAAAGGGGAAAGGAAGTAGCATGTTTGGGGCAGTTACAGGTTTCTGCAAAATGGGAACAGAACTGCTTGAAAGTTGTTGCAGATTTCTTGTGCGTGCTCACCTGCATGTCCAAGCAAAGGTCCCTGGCCCTTGTGGAAAAGGGGAAGTGCTACACTGCACTGCTCCTCATCTGCTGAGGACAGGGTAGAAATATCACCTTTTGGGGGGGGGCAAGGGTGAATTTCTTACAGTGTCTGTTCACTGAACTTGCTGTAATGCTGTATTTTTTTTCCAAATTTACTGACATACTCTTTACTTAGAGACAGACTTTTAGAAAATGCAGTAAAATTTCAGTCTTGCAGAACACTTACTTAGCCTTTGATTTATAGTTTCTGAAAGAGAAGATGTTTTGCCTTTCTCTATCAAAGCCAGTCAACTCTTCAGGATTTTTTTCTGATATCTTTTTTTTTTTTTTTCCCCCCCCCTTAAGATCGTGCCGGAAGCATCAGTACTCTTGATTCCTTAGATTTTGCAAGATACTCTGATGATGGCAATAGGGAAACAGACGAGAGAGTAGCAGGTAAGTTTTTTGTATGATTTAGGAATCATAGAATGCTAACTTTACCGCTTGACTTGTTGTTTCTAGCATAAGTGTATTTATATGAACATTCCTGAAGATGACAAGACTTCAGTGTGGTGGTTTAAGTAGTTACTTAATGATATGATCATGTTTCAGACACTTCTTCTATAATTACTGTAAATAGTCAGGCAGGTGTACTTCTGTATGATTCCAGGTGTTACCAGGGTAGAAGCAAGCAGTATACTTGAAAATTATGCCGTGTTTTTGACGATAGAACAGTATCTTGATATTGCCTATGGACTACTACTGTTTAGCTGAAATATATGCTAAAATATTCTATGTAGTAGTCTGTGACTACTACATGGGTGATAGCTTTCTAATGTAAAGACCTGTAGCAAGTCGTCTCTTAACTGTAGCTTATATGTAGATCAAACAAGCATTACCAAACCCAGACTAAATTTGGGATTTTCTCAGTTTCATAAATCTTCTTTAGTACAAATCTTAATTGTAGTGCTTTTCTTCTCTCCCATCAAAGTGACAGGGGTTTTTGCCTCTTGCAGTTGTTCTGAACTTAGGAGCCTGTGGCATTTTTAGTTTCAGGATTTATGATTATCTCGCCAAAGAGACTGCTTTTCTCTGAAATTATTACAATAATCTCTTTTGTGTGTGAGCTGTGTTTCTCTAATCTGGGCTTTTTTCTAAGTTCAGATATTAAGTTATTCACAGCTTCTATAGAGGAAACTCATAAAAGCTCTCTAGAAACTGCTGCAGAACTCTGTTTACTTCTTGTCAATTAATACTGTTTAATATTATGAGCACACAAAGGTTGTCCATGCTGTGATCTTTGTTCACATAATTTAGCTTTATGAAAACTGAAATGATGCAAGCTGCTATGTCTCTCTTCCACACTGTTGTCTCTGCTCTGAACCACCATGCTTCATCCTAGTAGAAACACTGTCATGTTCTTAGGCAAAGAAAAGGCTGGTGAAACATAGTTCTGTAAAGGATCTTGATTCTGAAATTTCGTCTCAGTCAGTCTGAAATGGCAAGCAATATTGACCCAGAGAGAAAAAACAAAAGTGTTGGGAAAACCTCGTTTTTCTTACCCAGCCCGTGTTTCTGAGGTAAAGGACTGGTTTAAGTTCATGAACATGAAGCAAACTCAGGTATTTTGGTGCTATGGCCTGGAACTATAGATACTTACTGTTCTTCAATTCATATGGAAACTTCCAGATTCCTGTTACTATCTAATTACTGGCTTTTTCAGTATACATAGTCAGTTTCAAGGAGGCAATAGTTGTAAATACACAGCTCATCTTCTAAACAAAGTGTATTTAAGGAACCCAAGTATTTCTGAATTGTGTCCTGGAATACAAGGAAGAAACAAGCAAATTCCAAATATTTAAATTTTTTCATCATTATGGTAGATTTTTCCTGTTTCTAGTCAATATTTCTTGGCAATGGTATTACTGAGAGAGCTAGTTTGATCTTTGCTTGGAGCTGTCTTTAGCAACTGAATTGGATTAGAGATGCTTATAGAAAGTAAAGACCAGTCAGAACTGGCATCCAGTGGAACCATTAATCTTCTGATGGAACATTAATGACAAAATATTGATTACTTCCAGTATGAAATGAATATATCCTAAAATTAAATACTAAATTTAATTAAGTACATCCTGAAATAGATAAAGATTTTTGAAGATTACAGTATGTTAATTGACCACTGTCATGTAATAGACAAGCAAACTATATGGCAGGATATTTACATTACATTTCTGTGTTCCTTTAGAGAGGTTTTTTGAAGAGTTGTTAAAACATGGTGTAAGAACTTGAACAAAGCAAGACTGGATATTATTTCTGGATGTTTGCAAAGACTTGAAGTTTTCCAAAATATCCTATACCTACTTAAAATTCTGGTTCGATTATAGTTGCTTAAAATCTTTTGGCTCAATTCTGTTTAAAACCGTGTACCTGAGCAATAAACTTCAGAAAACTGATAAATATTTAATTTGCACATAAAAAGATTATGTCAGTAGAGGTTTCAAAAACTTCTCATATCTAGTTCCTTCTGTGAACAAACTCTGACTTACAACTTCTGCTTTTGAGGTAGTTCTTAGCTGCAAATGTACTTTGAAACATAACTGGGAGTCCATTCTGCTCATTTCTTCTCATATTCTTTCTTCTCAGCAAAGAGCTTTGATGCTTAGGAGATAAATTGTAATCTGTTGTGAAAGCTTGAGGCTGTGGATCTGATAGTCATATTTTTCTTTTGATAGTCCTCAGAGTGAGGTTTGAATACTTTCTTTTTGTAAATGCCTTTCTTATGCTCTTATCTTTGGGTTTTACTGCTTGGACAGAACCCATGATTTCCATATCAATTCCCTAGTCAAATGTCAAATGAAGGATAGGAAATAAATGCACATCAGTCACTGAAAGAACCTGGTCCTGAGTCAGAAGGACTTTAAAACGGGAGTTATAACATATCCAGTTACGAATACTTTTATACCATGGCAATATTAGAAAGCACCAAATCAAGAAATGTGCCTTTATACCATCCAAAGCCATCATATTTCTGTTTTGCTGTTATGGATGGTTTAGACTTAGCTGCCTTTTTTTTTTTTTTTTTTTAACCAATCTAAAAATTCCTGGAAATAACTAGAAAGACTCTTGTTTGAAATGGATTTCAGTATTTCAAATCTGTTAGCCCAGTTCATTCCATCTGGTGTTAGAATCAAAATTTGGCCTAGAAGCAAACATGTTTTGAGGAGTTAGTGTGAACTTGTCTCTTGGGAAATGTAATTAAAGGAAGCTAAGTGAGTCTCTTCTATAATCATATTATCAGCTTGACTGAAAAGATGCAAGTCACAAAAGCTGGTCAGGATGTGGATGAGCATGACAAAAACTAACTGCAATTTGAAAAACAGCAATTTTCTTCCTTATCTACCTGATCTTAACATAGAGAGCTGTATAATAAATTGGGTAATACATTTGTAAACCACAAAGAGTTAAAAAAAAAAAAAAGCATCCTTACAGCTTGCAATTTACTAGATGGAAACAACTTGTTTTATAAGACTTAATAAGTCTTAAATCTAAATTCATGTATTAAGTGCTGAAATAGTTGGCGCTAAGATAAGTCAGTACTGAAGGATTTATTAGGCTTAGTAAACATCCTCCAAATATTCATTTTCATACAATGGCCAGAGAATGGAAAACCTGTTCCATTCCTGTGGAATGGGTTCACCTAACTTGAAGTCAAATACCCATAGCATTTGGTGTAAAGAGGTCACCTGACATTCAGTCTAAGGAACTGAATCTTCTGCCACGTCTTAAATTGTCCATGTACACAAATATGTTTGTCATCTAAACCCCTTACTTTCCATAATTCAAAAATTTAGTATTGCTAATCTGCCTTTGACATCTACTGCTCTGACAGTCTCATAATTTTACACACACAGTGCTGTGTTTTCAATAATAATAAAATTGATTCTCATAATCAAACTCAGTTTCAGTCATTTGTGTTCTCAGATCTCCTTGCTTTAGCATTGATTTCTGGCTAGACTATGTATCTCTGATTAGCAGGATAAAATACTGTCCCTGTCAGGATTTGAAGGGAAGAGACAAGTTCAAAACCCACTTGATTATTTTTGAGGATTTCATTTGTCTAGACTTAGGTTCGCAGTTTCTGCTTTTTATAGAGCCTTTTTGTGTATGTTTTTTAAGACGTACTATTACTTGTGTGCAATCAAAATCAGAGGAGAATCTTAAAAAAAACCAACAAACAAACAAAAACAAAACATAAAAGGCATCTGTAATACAACAATCACTTGCTAAATTGTGTGTTCACTTTGTTCATCCTGGAAGTGGGTCTGGTTTTGTCTTCCCATTTCCCGTCTTAAGCCCTGTTAAGCAGTTGTAAGCCTCCTTAATTTCCTTCCAGGCCAATAGTCTCCAAGTGTTGAACCTGAAGACAAGTCTGCTGTAGTTCAGGTCTTCTCTGTAGCCGGTCCTGTCTCATTAACTTAAAAGCATCAATGAGGCTAATGAGTCAAGTGTTGGCTTCCCACTATGAGAATGGTAACAAGATCTCTGTTAGCTTGCCCATGAACTCTCATGATTATAATTTTTGTAGCTTGATAGTCATCTCTTGTGCTGTAATACAACTTTCTAGTTCAGGTCTGTTTGTGTTACATCCGGAAGCATTTCACACTGACTGTAAATATGGTCACTTCTTTCTTTCTTAGGACGTGTATCAGGCAAGTGGGAATTAGGAAACCTCAGGTCTTGAAGTACATAGTGATAGTGGCTTCATTGCTAATTATAGTCAGAGAATTTAAATTTCTTCTGATTGATATATGCACAAATCCATCAAAGGTAATGGGATGTCATACAGGTTTTAGAGGGCATAATTTAGGACATCTAGAGTTCTACATTTACTTTACAAGGAGGGAGAACTCAAAGTAGCAGTTAAGAAACAAACAACAACAAAACTTGTAATGGCATGTCCAAATTTGAGGAAAGCTAGAGAAGCACAGGGGCGCATGGTACTTCAGAGGAGAACCACTTTTAAAAGAAAATGCCAGAATGCCATATAGTGGCTTCACAACATAAAACTACCTTTCTACTGCTGCCTGAAGTACTTCATACTGAAATATGCAAAAGTTTGACAAGATAATTCATATGTAGAATGTAAAATTCTGGTATAGTTGGAAAAAAATACTGCTTACACAAAAGCAAGTACTAAAAATTTTTAAAGTACTGTTTATTTCTTCAACTTTTCAGCCTTGGCCCAACAAGACTGCTGTTCATGTAGATCTCAACTTGTTCAGTACCCCAAATTGCAGGTTGTTCTTTATAGCTAACTTCTCAGCCTATGGTTCAATAACTTACCAAGTCGTTAACAAGTGTGGGTGAATAGAATAAGATCCTTGAGAGAGCTCCATTCTGGAAGCTGAGAAGACAAGCTACCCACTCCTGATATGCGCTTCTCTTCTAAGGTGTATTAGATTAGCTGCATGAAAACTGAAACATTTGAAAATCACTAATCTGAAAATCTTGGTCTAATGCTTAGTTGCTTGCTTGAAAGATTCAGCTCTTAAGTAATTTTTTTTTTCAGAATGATAGCTGTAGTGATTTGAGTCCTTTATAAAAAGGAAAAGCAAGAGAGCCACTTAAGTTTGGAACAGTTTTCTCCCCTAAGGCAGAACAGATTGTTCATAAATGCCCTTTCCTTGTAGGAAGATTAACCAACCTCAGAGCTTTAAATTTCTGTTCTCTGCTTTCCTGACATAGAGGAGGATCACTTTGGTTCTTTCCTTTCCTAGGGTGTCTGCAGCAAAACTCTTCTGTGCATCGTTCTTAAGGAGTGTCAGCTCCTTTCACCAAGTACTATAATGAGTTATACATGTTATCGGTTCAGTCAGGCATGAAGTTAAACTTTAGCTGGCTTTATCAATGCTTTTGAAGGCTTAACTTCTCTAAGGTACATAAGCTTTACAACAGAAGGTGAGGGGGGAGAGAGAGATCAGGCCATTTATTTTAAAAGTCAGTACTTAACAATGGTTACAAAGAAAGAGGTTAGAGGTTGGTTTTTTTATTTAAGAGAATGTCATATCATCAGTAAATGGGGATTTCCAGTGTTGATTTCACTAGTACACAAGTTAAGTTAAAAATCATTACATGTTTTGGCAGAAGATTGCATTTCAGTATAGCTTCTAAAATAAAGAGCTTTTAATCATAATTTAAATTTGATTGAAATTATGTTGTAGCTATTTACAAATGTTTATGCTTCTATAAAAAAACTACAAACTTCTTCAAATAAAAGCTAGATTTGTGACTGGCTTAGATGCATCAAGGTTTGTATGGTGGCATTAGTAAGACTAGGAGATGAGGTACAACTGTAACAATGCTGTGTTGTAGTAGAATTATGTGGCTGTTGTGACATGCTGTGAAGTGGCAACTTCTCAAACATACTATGTCCACAATCTTCCACTGTATACAGAGAAACATGCAGCAGAGTAGTCCACTTTTAAGGTTGAATGGGTAAAGTCCTAATGGCTTCTAAGAATTTTCAGCATCGTGACAGATCGCTAAAAGTTAATTCTTGCCGTCTGACATGGGTTTGTCTGACATGAGTTTTTTGGCTTTCTATGCCTTCAGACATGTCTTATTCCTGTTTTCCTTAATGGGATTCCTGAGTTTTTCTCGTTTGTGTTGTTTTTCTAACGTTTTTTTATTATTTATATCATTCTAGTGCAGGGCACTCCTGATCTGCAACTGTTCTGGTCTTTGAAAGTATTTTACAAGAATAAACTGTTAACACATAGTCATTTCCGTAAGAAGAATTACTTAATTTGAATTCTTTAAAATTTTAAAAAATGAACAAATTAGTAGCTTACAACTTAGAATTGTAACTGTGAATTAGTAACTCAAATGCAAGGAAGTGCTAAAATTATTAGACACTTTACTACAAGAGCATTTTCTAACTTTGTTGCACAGAAGTATTTGCAGATCAGCATTGCTGAATACTAGAGAGATTTTACATATCTTATTCATTGTATCCTCAGTTGCGCTTTTGTATCGCTGCAGTAAAATTCTGTGCATCAAACAAGTTACTTTCATGTAGCAAATGTGGTGTACTGTAGTTACTCCTTCAGTTTTTATGGATAAATGCAAACTGAGTGAATCTTTTTTTCCATGCATGCTAATTATCAAAAGATTCTTAGTAACAGATGTTCAAAAGAGGAAACCATTTTATTTGTAGTCTTCAGTAGCATTTCTTACAAGCCAGAGCCAGTGCGGTGTTTCTGCCAAGCATTGTACTCTGTGCAAATATTTCAAAATGCCATGTTAAATTCTTTCCAGGCAATGACCAAAAATCTCATTAATATTTTCCTATTAAAAGCAGCTACAACATTTTTAGTTTTGTATGGGAATAAAGTAAATGTTAGATAATCTATTCAGAATAGTTTAACATTTCAGTATGGTAGCTGTTCTGCGCTCATCTCTTCTGGTTAAGTACAAGAATCCTTCTTTCTGGTAACTGTATATTTAAGTGTGATTAGATTAATCTGAGAATTAATGAAATGCATGTAATTATCTGATAATTCCTTAAATAGGTTCCCTTAGATGTTCTAACTGTAAATGGCTATAAAAAGAACATTTACTATATGTTTTGCAAAGGTACAGGGTTTTAAAATTTGGAGCCACAGTGTATACATATGACCTCAACATCAAAACACGTGAAATTCCAGTGCAAACAAAGCACTACTGGCCCTTTTTGGAGGAAACATTGGAACATGAGAAACACAGAACAGTGGCCACAGGGGTGGGGAGGTGGAGCAGGTGATAACGGCAGCTGAAATTCTTGTCTTTTTGAATCTCTAAAGCTGACTCTAGATCGTTGAAAGTGTTGTATAATCTAGAATCACTGGAAACTCTTAAGAATAATAGAGCCAACACATTTTTGTTTCAAGCTTTTCTGTGAGTACAGGAGAGCTCCATATTTTGCTTTTTTTTTGGTCTTGTGCATCTCTTAAATGTGTACAACTAAATTCAAAATCTTAACCAACTCCAGGGTATTCCTAGAACTCCACTATTTTTAAATAGAGATTTAAAACAAGTTTATTTGTTGTAGTAAAACAGAGTATGTTTCAAGTTCTGTCATTTAAACTACTAAAATTCCAGTGTATAATTTTATTTTAAAAAAAACAAAACTCTGTAGTCTCAATGGGATGGTACATTCACTTCATGGTTTAAGCTTTGCTGCATGGAGACAGCTTCCTCTGCTGCCAGCATGTGTTTGCTTCATTTAGAGATGTCCTGTGATTGCCCACATACTCTCCTTGCCCCAAGAAATCAAAACATTTGACAGTATCAGCTGATTGTAAGAGTGGGGAAGAAATAACAAGCGTTTCCCAGTAATATGCAAATGAAAAGCGGGGCCGGGGGGGGAGAAAAAAAGATCCCAAAACCCTACAGCGGGTCCTTGTCAGACAGCTTGAAATTTTGATTTAGCTAACTTCAGGCTAATGAAACTATGGAAAATGTTCACCAGTTTGCTTTCAGACCAACTCTGCTGCATGTGTTCATAAGTTCCATAAAGATTGCATGCTTTCTGTTTAATACAAACTGTATATTTTTTTTCACACCCATCCTTGCTTTTTATATTTTATTTTTGTTTCCCTTGCCTTGGTTGGATGCCTGTGTGTGTTTAATCCAAATCCCTGTCCAGTCCTGGAGTTTGAACTACGGAAAGCCAAGGAGACCATACAGGCCCTCCGAGCCAACCTGACTCAGGCTGCAGGTGGTGTACATAAACCTTTTCTTAAGTCTCTACTTTGAACAATGTAGAAGTAGCTGAGCTCATCCTGTGTGAAAGAGTAAAATTTAGTTACTTCTTTTTCCTCCCCAGAAAATGAAGTTCCTTTGCAGGAACGAAAAAATTATAAATCAAGTCCTGAAATTCAGGTAGGTGGCTGGTGATAACTGAGCTTTGCATGGACTTTAAGACAGATATGCTTCCATAGTTGGAAGGAGGATGAACCAAAGATGTAGTGTATTGTTCTCTTTTTTTCCAGGAGCCAATCAGACCTCTTGAAAAAAGAGCTCTAAACTTCCTAGTTAATGAATTTTTATTGAAGAATAGTTACAAGCTTACATCAATAACATTTTCAGATGAAAATCATGATCAGGTAAAGTTTTCTTGTGGTTTTTTTTTTTTTTTTTACATGCCAGTTTTCCATATTCTGATCTTGTCATAAACTCAGGTGAACTTAAATGATATTTCCTGTGCATGTAGTTCACTTCATACGTATGAGTATTCTAGGAGTTAAATAAGTTAGTTAGCATTTTCAAGTATAAAACATGGTTTGAAAACGCAGCACTTTGAAGAGTATTTTCCCAAAATTTGCGGGAAGGAGACAGAATGCTTGCATTCTATAAAGGAAGCAAAACAAGAAGAAAAATATTGTGAGTTATAGGTACTTATACACTTCCCTGAATTCTGATGGACACCGTTGCAGTTAAACTCAAGGATCTGGATATGGTAAAATTTTGAACGTAATCTTTTCCTTAAATCATACTCAGTTAATTTGTGCACAATATACAATATACTCATTGTTTTTCATCTCCTGGGCATATATATGTGAGTATACTTAATCATGCTGTGGCGTCGAATGCAGTCTTGGAGAAGTTCTCGGTAATAAGGTGTTATCTTAGATATTTCCAAGCATAGCTGTGCTTTGATGCATTTTTCTTAAGATGATCAGTTTTATGTCTCTTACTGGCTTGCATTTCATGGGATAAAGTTCTTCAAATGTTTTGAAGGTTATAATTACATTCCGACTGTTACTGGGTGAACAAAACACCCAGTAACATCAACTCCCAGTATATATTCAGCACAAAACTGGAATATTGTCAGAAGAATTAAATACTGAATTCAATATAAATATTGAATTTCAGCCAGTTCTATCTGTAACTAGTCCTCCTATATTTTTCCTACAGTTCATATCCTAATCTGTAAAGAAATGGGTGGTTAAACAAAATTTCTGGATCATCCACTTCAGATTTGAGTTTAAGTGCTAGGTTTCATACAAATACTTATGAGGATACAGCCCCAAAAAAAGCAAAGATAAATAATTTATCCTTACTTTTTATGTGTTCTCAACTGAAAATGTTTTATGTTCTGAGTCAATTAGCAAAATAAAAAAAAAAAAGAGGCAAGTTCGTAATTCTAAAAAGGAAATACAAACATATTACAATTACCATAGAATGCACATTTTTTTTTCAAGATTATTCACATTGTTCTTTCAGAAAATAATCTTTCTTCAAATAGGTGTTATCTAACCGGACTCTGAAAAAATATAGTGAGAATTGTGAACAGTAGGAAAAAAGTTAAAAAAAGAAAATTTAGAAAATTGGAATTTAATGTCATTAAAGAGACCATCACAACTCCTATATAACAGTGCACGTGCTTGTTTCTATATACAGAGATGGATTAATCTTGTAATAATAGGATGGTAATATGTCAATGAGAAAAGGAAGGACATGTAGTGATGGTTTGAGACAGGAGGCCCTAGTATTGTTTACACCTCTACACAATTAATACAGTTATGTCCAGATTTCACTGAGAATATGCACCCCGTCTATCAGTCATCTACAGAGCTATTTGACTGACTGCTTCTGGCAAATTACACCTGTAGTTGTGAATGAGATGGGAACAAAACGATACCCCTGTCAGTAGAAAGCATTCTAGCAACTGCACTGGCTTCTGCTAGAATTTGATCAACTTTATATCTGATTCTAAAAGGTGTTCACATCCTAGAAAAAAAAAATTGTGATCTATGTGTATTTGGAAGGTCTTCTCTTTAGTACATTACCTAGAGCTTCCTTTAGGGTGAAGCTGCTTTGGGTTGTTAAATGGATCCTTTTTCTACTTTTGCTATCTGATTTAGCTTTCATCTCCTTCACTACAATGCAATCTTGATGTGATTATTTTGCTGTTGTATGACCTGCAGTCAAATGAGGAAGAGAAATGAAAATAAAAGGAAGTATATTGTATGCTCTAGTTTTTCTTATTCCTTTGAAGGATTTTGAACTTTGGGATGATGTAGGATTGAACATTCCAAAACCTCCTGACCTGTTACAACTCTATCGTGACTTTGGAAACCATCATGTTACTTCAAGAGATGTGGTGGATGTATCAGTTGGTGTAGAAGATGATGAGTTAGAGGCTGCTACTCCTATACTTGGGAGCGTCCCTGTATTTGAAACAACACCACAGTCAATAGAAGTAAGAGATTGTACAGAAGAAAGGTTTCAGCTGTTTGGGAGTCCTACTTAACTGTACTGTACTAAACTCTTTTGTTTCTATCTTGTATTTAGCAATGTTTAATAGTGCAAAAATTAGAAGATCAAGTTAGTGTGTTAAACAGTGAGAAATGGTCTTTGATGGAACAAATCCAAAGACTTGAGAGGTATGTACTTATCAATCTGCTCGACTGCCTATAAATGTTGGAATAACTCTCAATGTTTTTCTAGCACATATATGAAAACATACAACTTATGAAATTACTAGTAGTTCTTCAGAGTAGGGCAGTCTTTCCTTTTTAATACATGGTATTTGATTTAGAAAAAGGAAGAGACTTCAAGTTGACTTTTATTACCTACATAATTTAATTTTGTAATCAGTTTTGTTCTTTCAATGCAACTTCTTTATTTACTTGTTTGAAAACAGAGTCAGTTCCGGTGTGTTTTGTGTAGGTTTTCTCTTCAGTCAGCTTTATTTCACTTCTTAGCACTATAGTGTGTACAGCTTGCAAACACTGTTAGAAAGGTGTTTGGTTTAATTGCTTATTTCAACACAGTTTTTCTTTCTACAGAGCAAGACTAGTAGAAGTAGCAGTGTATTTAACAAAAACAAAAAAAAAGAGACTTTAAAAGTATGGTCAAAACATATGATTCTGTAAGCTATAAGATATTCCTCTTAAGAGGTGCACCAATACAACATACGGGCAAGTGCATAATTTTTAAGTGGCTTTACTGACTTGCATAGTTACCATTTCAAAGCAAGGTGGGAGAGTATATATTAATTCACCACTACAGTGTTTTAAGTTTTGCATCCCAGATAAAGTTCTGTCTCATGACAATTTGTGTCTCAGTGCTCAGATTTCAAACAGAAGCAGGTAACACTATTGTTACTCATTTATTTCATTGATCACTCTGAGTGCAACATTTTTCCTACTGCTAATTATTGACTAAAGAACTCTTTTAAACCAGTGCTCATTTGAACAGCTGGTATGATATAAGTTATTGCTATTAAAGGAATTTTTGAACATACTGGAGTTGAAGAGGGAGCTCTTGAGTATGTTGTCCTTATTTCTGTGCTTCAGTCTTGTTCCCAGCAACCTTCTTGTGAAAGCTACGAAAGTATTTCATTCTTTGCTTTTCCTTTTTTAGTGAAATAGATTTTCTCAAGAATGAAAACTTTGCTGTGTCAACAGTGTATGGTGTAGCTCCCCATCCTCCTTTAAAACAAGTGCCTCTTACAGTCTCAGAGGACAATGGACGGTACTTGGATATCAAGAGCTCTGAGAATGACAATAAACATGAAAACACTGAGGAAACAAGCCTTTCTTTATCAGCTGAAGTGGATTCAAGGACTTCTAAAGATGATACGCTAAATTCTATGCCGTGTAAAGAAACAGAGAAACTGTCCTCTTGTGCTCCGTCAACTAAAGCTGCAGTCCACTTCGATAAACCTAATAGGTTAGTGATAAGTTTTAAACTGGAATGCTTTAATTGAAAATTCTTGTAAAGTGGGTAGATATTTTTCTAACAGTAAAATTCTGCAAAATTCATAGATCGTTTGTGTTTTGAATGCAAATAAAAGGCTTAACATACCTTTAGGGTACAGTGCTGATACTTTCATATTGTTCCTAATCTTTTTAGGAAGGGGTACATTTGACAAACCTACATTTTTAGTATTAAGTTTAAGGGTTTCTTTTCACCTCCTACTTGTTTCTAAAACCAGTCCTGTTCCTTGCAACAACAAAAAAAAGCTAAAATCAAAATGGTGAATGGGAGGACAGTATATTTCCATTCTCTTTCAAATTTTAATTTCATAATGAAATCTCTTCTGTTCTGCTTGAAGAGTGGTTGGGAAGTTTTTTACTTTTCCTATGTAGATCTGTATAACTCTCTTACAGTATCTGAGAGCTGTATGCTTGGGTTTTGTTTGGGTTTTTTTTAAAATAAACAGAAAGGGTATCCAATGACATTCCGCTTTTTGAGTTTTGAATTTGGGGCAAGTCTTCACTGGGTAACTATTATTCTTTTTAATTAAAATAGGGTATTCACATTGTGTTATTACATGGAGACTGAGTTTGTGTCTGAGTGTTCTTGAGAAAGCCTCTCCAATCTACACAGTCTTTTTAAGCATTATAGTGAAGAAGGGAAGTAACATATTTATTAAGTAATAGATAAACGACTGTGTAGCCATCAGGAATAACATGGACCACAAACTTAATGAGGGTATGTACAAATTCTAAAATTACCATTGTGGACAAGGATGCCCAAGTAGCTCACGTTGTTGTCTTACTGTTGCTATTCTTAGGGGAGCAGGTAGCTATTCTGCTTTGTATTTTGTTAGTTCCCTTAGCGTTCTTTTGCTGGTGTTGATACAGTAATATGCTTCTAGAATTATTTTCCATCTGAAAATACCAAGTAGAAATCTATGTGTGTATTCTGTGCAGATGGAAAATCAATACAAGCTGCAGGGAGGAAGAAGAAGAAGAAGGAAAAAGAGTTGCTACTCCTGCTAGTAACTAACTTTTCTTGCAAACCCTAAGTATTCTGTTTTCTCTGGATTTCCTGGACTTCTTGTGCTGAGTCCTAGGGGCAGTGGCACTTTTTCAGTGATATCTTAACTTTCGAATTTAACAGGAAGAAAGACTTCTGATTTCTGAATGCAGTACCTTAGAGTCTTACTACAAATTTCTTCTCTTCCAGTTGAATATACTAGTGTTTAACAGGAAAGTAAAACTTGGCTTAGACTTTTCTGGAAAATTTGCAGTGGTTCCATTTAAGCTTTCCAGATTTATTTATTTATTTTTAAATTTCTTTCATATCCTAGCTGAATATCTAGACTATGTAATAATCAAAACCTAGAGCTGTTGTACATTGATTGCTATAAACTCGTCTACCTACTTTCATATGTGGCTTGTTGCAGGTTTCTTTTTGCTCAGATTAATTGGGAGTGCTGGGAGGCATTAAGAGCATGAATATTAGATTGATGGTTTGGGGATAGTGATGATGGGTATCAAAATAGGATGAGATCACTGAGTGAGGAAGGAACTGTGAGTATCTCCAGTGGGATTTATAAGCCTATGACAGCAGTCTCTAGAAAAACAGAATCTGGTTTGCTGCTCACAGCTCTTAAATAAACTGCATGTGGATTTATTTGAAAAGTAGTTGAATAAAGCCTTGAATCCCCATTGAGTTAACTTCAGAAGTCCCCTCAAATGCAGTTCACTGCAGAAAAGTAATGCACGTGTAATATGTAGCTACTTCATTACTGAATTTTGGGCTTAACATGTCAGTGAACGGTCAGAGGAAACCATATTTGATACAGTGTTTTACAGATCTGTATCACTAAATTTTCTTCCTGAATAATGCACTTGGTTTGTAATAATACAGTAGATTTTTTTGTTAAGAATTATATTATTTGTTAAGTAATTTGAGATCTGTGGGAGAAGCAGCATGATAGAAGTGCTGGATATTTATTTATTTCAGTCCAGGGGTAGTTATTTGTAGAAGACAATTACTGCAATTTATTCAGAATAAACTAAGACTTTATCCTAAAAGGTGAGATTGTTACTACTGTAGCTAGGGAGTGGATTCTTGGCATAAATCTTGCCCAGATGGGAAGAGAGGATAGAAGAGCAAGTGAGCCTGCTTTGTATGACTGCACTCAGAGCAGCTGTGTGTGCAGGCATGCACACAAGGACACGGCCATCATTGGAAAAATGCCTTGTTGAACAGATTGCAGTAGAAGGCACTAGCAGCGGTTTAAATAGACTGTACCACATGTATTTATTCAACTCATTTTAGGTGTTTGGTAGTTTGCACCAAATACAAGGTGTTTTCTGTATACAGCAGTCACTCCTGACGTTTTCAGTAAATTGACTCTTTTGTCCCAGTGTTATATGGAATAGAATAGTAGTACTTGGGTTTTGTATTCATCATACTTCTTTATATTTGAACATCTTCACTGCTGGCATCTGTTGGCCCTCGAAAAGACTTTCCACTGACTTGTGTGTAAGAGGCCTGGGTCTGTCATTGTTTCTGTCCAGCATAGCCATCAAGAATTTTACTAGACTTCATCAAGGAGAAGCTTTCTTGACTCTAAATATAGCCAACAATTGTAATGGGATCCATGCTGCCCAGAGCTTGCTGTTAATTAACCCACTGGGAAATTCAGTGACATACTGTCATACTTAGTTTCCAGTCTCTGCAAAATGGGGTTTGAACTTTGCCCTTATGTAGGATTTTAATTAAGGTTGCAAGTGGGAAAGGATCTGACATTCTGCAGAACAAACACGGAGGTGAAGGACAGCCTGGGCAAAGGGCTGGCCAAGGCCTTGCCACTCTCTTAATCATAGAATCGTTTAGGTTGGAAAAGACCTTTAGGATCATCCAGCCCAACCATTAATGTTAACCGTTAATGCTAAGCTGCTGCTTTGCAATGCTTGCTTCTGTTCTCCTAGCGTAAATAAACCTTAAAGCCTTGAGTAGAGCCTGTAAATCTGTCATTCAAGAATACTTTTACAGAATAAGGACTAACATTGTTAAACAGAGGTCCTTTACAACTTGCTACCATCCAAGTCGTTCAGTAACTTTTTTTAAAGTGAACACTTGCACAAAACCAAGCTGACGGGAATTAAAACAAACTTCATTAAAATTTAAAACGTGTTTTAAAAACCCATACTTGAAGAAAGAAGCTTGATTTTAAGTAATAAACATAAATTCTTACTTACCATATGTTGTAAACAGTCTGAAGAGGGAAACTACTCTGGTATATTTACCTATATCCTCCTGGATTAGTTTAAACAATTATAAGTAGGATCTTAGATTCTTAATGTGCTTTTTTTTTTGTTAGAAAAGGGTGAATGATGATGTATTTACAATAAATAGTGTGATGTTTCAATCTATTAGATAAAAAAATATACATATACACATAATTGCATGTGCATAAGATTTTGTGCGCTCACGTGCACAAAATAGCATTTTTAAGAGTGGAAAGGTGATACCACTTTCTACATAAGAAATAGGAACTACCTCCTCCCTTAAACTCATAATAGTGTCATTAGAGGATTCAAAGAGCAGATGATGATACAGGGTGAGATGCTTTCTGTGCATCTTTTGGAAGACAAATGTTCTTTTTCCTCTCTAAGCATGGTGGATGAGGCAGTCTTAGATTAGCATCCAAATACAGGCCTCAGATAAGGCATTGTCATTACTGGGAAAAATAAGATGATGATGATACTTGCCTGTTTTATGTAATGGTCAGTCCAGTAATTGTTTTCTGAGAACATTGCTGCCAAATTGTCCTCCTCGGACAAGGTTGTTTTGAGACTCTTATCAGGGTTTTATGTGTATACTTAAAGCTTTGAGTAGCTCGGCTGTGTTGGCTGGTGCTGTGCATGGTGCTGTGCATGGCCATGAGGCAGTACTTCTATGGACAGACATCTATATTAGGGATTAGGCAGCAATTTAACATTAGTTTTGTGGTTCTCACTGTACGTTTGTATCCAACATTTAGATCCCAAAGTGGCAGCTGAGCAATCTCTGTTTAATCCTGAAGCTTGTGACTGACTACTCAAATGTTTTTATGCAATGTGCAAAACCAGAGCATTAAGCAAAAATATTGTTTCTTGTGATTTCCGCCTCTCTCCCTGCCCCCCCCACACACCCGTTTGCATAATTGTATGCTTCCTCTTGTTTTGCTAAAGCTTCTTTTTCTTCATGCTCTAGTCCTATTTTTGTTTGTGCAGCAGTTTGAAAAATGTTACATTTTCCGGAACTAAAAGTAACCTCTTAATTAGGACACCCGCTTTTTTTCTTTCTACAAACTAAACACCCTAAAAGTCAAAGATAATTTTAAACAAAAGCTTCTGCAGTATGCTTCACGTAAAACATGCTTTCTGACTGTCACTTTACCTAGCTGGTTAAACCAGAATGAAAGGACTTGTTCAGTCACCTTTCTGATCTATGCTTTTTTTCCCCCCTCCCTTTTTGATGATATTTCAGGAAATTGTCACCAGCTTTCCATCAAGCACTACTGTCTTTCTGTCGGATGTCAGCAGACAGCCGTTTGGGATCAGAGGTATATTTCCCAGTTGACATAAACTAGAAGATGTTTTATTCTGCATGGCAGCAATAGTTAAACAAGCAATAATTGCTTTGAAACAAGACTTATTAACATATATGGAGAGATCAATTTATGCGCATGAAACTTAAGAAATAAGGATATGCTATCAGATTTTGGCTTAAATAAGAAACCTAGTGATAGATATGTAATTACTGGGAAAGTTTAGAGTCTCTACAAGTGGATTTGTGCTTTTGAAGTTACTGCCAGGTCAAAAGCTTAAGGCTTAATGTGTGTGAGTAAATTAAATATTTTCTGGTAAGTGATCAGCCTGCTGTAATTCTTATTATTCCTTTGAAAGGCTATTTTTCTGTTCCCGTGCTTCATTTAAAAGAAACAAACAACTTGGTTTTCTAGGTATCTCGGATTGCAGACAGTGAAAAAAGTGTCATGTTAATGTTGGGACGCTGCCTGCCTCATATTGTTCCTAATGTGCTGCTTGCAAAGCGAGAGGTGAGGAACCCTGAAATTTTACTTTTTATCAGGATGTTTTCTTGTTCATTTTGAAGATGATGTGTCTAATTTCATTAAAGTCTGTTACTTGCAATCATGTTCTTACTTTTGTGCATGCATCTCTGCTCCTAGAAAATGGTTTTACACCTCTGTCAGGTGAGTTCAGTAAACCTGCATGGTATCCTAATATTTCTTCCTTTGCTTAAGGCACCCATTAGCATTCAGCAAGACTAACTGTTACTGTAGGTCCATCTGTTTGTGGTAGCACAAATGTTTTTGGTAGAGAAGACCAGGGTTAATGTGTGTTATAAAGAGCAGAGGATATAAGTTCAAACATTAAATTTGGTTTATTTTATCTATCAGTTTTAATAAGTATTAATGTTCAGGTTCTTTTGCAGCACTATGAACTTCAACAAAAAAATTAGTTTACCATCTTTTTCTAGAAGCTCCATGTATCAGGCAAGATAAGGTTCATCAAAAACACCCCTTCATAAGAAAATTAGCAGTCTTGCTTATATGTTTTCCTTAAATTTAAAATGAAACTAAATAAAATTATGAAAATGTAATGTTTATTTTGAATGTAAATGAAGATCGTGTTTTGCATAATCATTTGCATTATATAGTATAGAAAAGGAAGACTGTGATTGAAGATGGAAAAAATTGACTGGTTTTGTATTGCTTTGTTATAAATATTGCACATTATCAAATGTGTAAAAAATAAAAATAAGAAAATATATCAAACAAAAATTCAGCGGCCTTATAGTTGACAATGAAATAAAGGGTTTGAAGTAGCATAGCTTGTTGAGCAAGTTTTAGTCCTTGTTGAGGGGACCTACAGTATGGTAGACTTAGTAGTGCGTTTTGCATAAATTCATTTTAAGGCTTTGAAAAATCCTCAAGAAATTTGTACTGATCCTATCATCTAAAATTTTATAACATTGAGTAATTATCAGCTGTTGACATGGTGAGTTTGAGATGCACCATATTTTGAAAGTCTCAAACTTTATAAAAGGGTTTTTTTCCTGAGGGCGTGAGGGTGTTAGCTGGGTACCCTGGCAATGGTTCTGTTAGTAGTCTTTCAGAATAATTCTGTGAATGTTCCTGGATCAGTGCTTAATTTCTGATTTCTTATTTATTCCTTTCCTTCCCTCTGCTTGGCAGGATGTGGTATTTTGGCTTCTTTTCACAGCTTGTAGCATAATCTGTGTAATGCATTTAGTATTTTTGTGACCTATTAGGCTATTTCCTACTTACTTTGTTTTACAGCTGAAGTTACATTTGATTACACGTATTTTTGCCTTAAACGAATCATCTGTTTCAATTTGATTGAAAAAGCCGCAAGTGAGAATTGTGTAACTGGATTGCATGGGATGCTTAATGTTCCGAGAATTGAAATTTGCTTTAAAAATAGCTTTTCTCAGTTACCACCCGTTGCTATAACTATTGTAATGTTCTTTCAGATGTAGTCGTGGAATTTGAAGGAAAACTTGGGTAGACCATCTGTTAGTATTTATTAATATCAGTATTAAGAGAAGCTAACTTAAGAACTAGGCTCTCTTCAACAAGGTACAACTTTGGGTCTTGTCCAAAACCAACCTTATCATGAGGTTGGTTTACACAGTTTTACAGAGAAGTTCTGTAAAAATAGGTCAAAAGATCACTAATTTGATGAAATTTGCTTTAAAAATAGCTTTTCTCAGTTACCACCCGTTGCTATAACTATTGTAATGTTCTTTCAGATGTAGTCGTGGAATTTGAAGGAAAACTTGGGTAGACCATCTGTTAGTATTTATTAATATCAGTATTAAGAGAAGCTAACCTAAGAACTAGGCTCTCTTCAACAAGGTACAACTTTGGGTCTTGTCCAAAACCAACCTTATCATGAGGGAGTCTTAGCACAGTTTTACAGAGAAGTGGTGTAAAAATAGGTCAAAAGATCGCTAATTTGAGAAAGAGATGTAACAGGTTCAGGTTATAATGCAAAGTGATCGCCAGTCTGCTCTGAAAAGATACAGTGGTAGTATTTAAGATCTTACACTGTCAGTGTGTAAGGCATGAGGATTAAACATAATTTTGTGATGACTCCTTAAAGTACCTATCTTTGTTCTTTAAGCATCCATCATGTTGACATTAGTTGCAAAATCTTAAGCTGAAAATATTGTGCTATACGTTTTCAGTTTGGAGAAGCTGGGTTTGTGGAGGTTGACAGTCTTGCAGTAGGTATTGTCCTTTACCAGAGACTGAGAAGGCATTTCACCAATGCTTTTAACCCACTTAAGATCAGTAGTAGCCTGCCTGACTTGGTAACAAGCAGTCCAGTAAATATTACAGTTGACATCTGAGCGACCAGTTAGTGTCAGAATGTCTGATGCATTTCTCAAATTATTTGGGTTTTTTGTGTATTGGTGCAGCTTTAATTGTTCTCCAGTGTCTGTAGCTTAGGTTCTGATGGAAGGTAAGAAAGAAGGAAAAATACAGTATTGAGTTGGGTGGCTGAGGAGATAATTTAGTTCTTTCTAAAAGAGCAGTTCAACCGGGTAAAATTGGTAATGCATAATATAGGATAATTGCCTGAAAGCAATTCATAGTCATTAAAATTCCACATATCAAATATAAATTTAATTTTGTTTTTATCCCAAGTGTCTAGATTATCCTAACTGCTTGAAAACATGTGTGTCAGTGTTTAGATTTGTATGTGAATATACTCACAAACAAAGGAGGTATTGCAAGCCAAATAGTAATTGGACTGAACAGTAAAAAAAATGCTAGAAACCTATTCTTCAGGATTTTAAAAAAAAAAAAAAAAAAACACCTTTGGCTCAGTATGCAGTCTGTGATAACGCTTCTTGCAGATGAGCAGCTTGAGTTCATAAAATTTCATCTGCATTGGAATCTGCTTCCTCAGTTGTGTTTTTACCATGTAAAACTAAAACACATTTGAGATTAAAAATAGTAAAATCAGCCACCTTCTATTTGTCAAGAGGTATACTATAAAAAGATTCCTTTGGCTAAACTAATTAGAGAAAAACAATCTTTTAAAATTTTTGCGATAACTACTCAGTGCAGTACTGATTTCTCACCCATTGCAAGATGTAAAAATCTGTCAGGTAACAGAAGTAACCTTGTTTGTATGTATAACTTCCATGCTCTGCAGTATGTAGTCCTTTAGCAGAGTTTGGGCCAGAATAAACTTTTTGGCTTAATATCAGGATCTTGTGACTCTTGTTCTTAATCAAGAAACACTTTTCCTTAATTATTTATACTTCTAATCTCACCTATTATTCCAGGGTTAGGTTATATAACTTTCATTTATGTTATGCAAACTTAGCAAAATCACAATAGCGATGGCTTAGTAAATGTGCACCACTAAATTTTTATACTGAGAAACTGTTATTTATATAGAGTTCAATATGTTAAGAATAGAGTTTTGCTTTTATTTCTCTGTAAAGTTGAAGCAAAGATAATGCTGAATCTGCAAATTCTGAATGGGTGCCATTCTTGACTCTGCTAGAAGGAAGTAATGCTGTAGATTTAAAGTTGTTCACGTTAACGTGTAGTAACTACACATAGACATCACCGAGACACTTTTATTCTCTGGCAATTTTTGTAGGTAGCTGTCTCTTAAAACACGGTAAAGCTGAATATCTTTTTACAGATTTTCATCTCATTCTTAACGCTTTAAAAGCCATAAAATTCTGGCTTTGTTAAAAAGTGTAAAAGAATGCTGTGTCGGAGCTTGGCAGTATATGTAAGTGGCTGTGTCAAGCAGATGCCATTCTGGTTGCATATGGATAAAGATATGTAAGTTTGAGTTCCTGGGCATGAAAATTTTCAGCCATCAGTGTCTTCTAAATGACTTTCTAATTTGCAGGATAAGGGAGACTAGAAAAATTTAAATGAATAATTAAAATACTTTGTGTTACTCGGTAAAACTTAGATTGCGGTAGGCTTCTATAGATCGTGTTTCTGAAAAATAGGGATAGCGTTGACCACACCCTGTTTGCTGGTTCTCTTCTGGTTTACTTGGGGTGTTGGTTTTAGTTTGGGGGCCTTTCTGCTGCCCCAGACACACATAAGAGAGTGACATAACCATTTTTTAATTTAAGTCCTTTAGTTCCATTCTCTGGCTATGCAGGACTAGTGCAGTTTTCTTAGAATGAAATAGCTCAATCTTGTAAGAGAATCCTTTTCATGTCTAGTCTGAAAGCTGATGTCTTTCAACACCATGTCTTTAAACATAATTCATGGATGCAAGGAGTTGAATTTAATGTTTATGAATTGAATTGCCAATTGTTACTAGTTTATGACAGTAGTCTTATGTGGATTTTCAAATAAACGCTAGCTATAATGAAAGAAGTATGAAGTTTTATTCACACACATTTCTGTGTTGAGTCTTATGTAAAAACATCCCTTTGGGATCTACAAGAGGCTTAATTTGGGTCCTGGAATAATAGTCTCATCCCATGAAATGTAATTAGACTTGTAATTTTAATATTAATAAGATGAGTAGCACAAAGTTCTGAGTCATGTGTTAATCCTATGATTAAATATTTTTTCATTTTAAAACTAAAAGGATGAATTCTGAACTTCAAAGACATTCTTGCACAAGAGACTCCGTATCAGTAATTTGTTAGTACCTGCAGCTATTTCAGTTGCTGCAGATAAGATTATTTTATTTTATTTACTGGTTGTCAGAGGCTAAGTTACAGAAGAATTTTAACATAGCATTGGTTCACAACGTAAACATTGACTATTAGAGAAGGTTAAAAGGGACATATTTACAGAATTGATCATAACATCATCCTGGTTTATAAATAATGTTGTTACCTGTTTGCCATATTATTAGATTAATATTTGAAATAATAAAAAAGATTACTATCCTAAGCTATGGAAGTAACTAGTCTTGACACTTAACACTAATTAAATTTGTTCTTTGAGATAATTATTTTGCTTAGGAGCACTCCAACAAAAAGGCACTAATTAGTGAGAGAAACTAAGATGTCGAAGACTTGTCAGAATGTTAAACAAAAAAAATTATTATGAAGGCACCAACACAGATAGAAAATTCCTTGCTATCTTGTAAGACAATTGTCAGCAAAATAGAGACATGCTTGCTATAGGATGTATTTAAAAAAACTCCAAACTTTAATGTTTTTTTTTAATACTTTTAATATGTAGGAGGAACTGTTTTGCATATAGTTGAGGTGATAGCAGTTACCATTAAAAAGTCACCTTATTTTGACCATAATGAAGAGCTGCTCCATATGCCCATGTAAATGTTGCCTTTATTGAGAACTTGAATCAGCTGAAATAGTGAATCCTGTTCAAAGATAACAGAACATGTTGTTGTAAGTTAAGGACAAGTTGTCCAAAGGTACTATGGTGAAAAAAATGTGAGTTTTGCTTAGGAGAGACCTACATGGACAGTTACACAGAAGCAGAACAGAAAGAAGATGGGCCATTTCAGTTCTCCTGTGCAGTGCGTTAGATCAGCTTCATAGCGTTGTCTGTCATTCACCTGTATGTAGCTTATCTCACAGTAAAAACACAATAACTTTTTTCTCTCTGTTCTACATCTGGGTAGCTCAGATATCAACTGCCTCAGATACGAACTTGCCTTTTCAGTAGTGGAGGTGAGACCTCTGACACATGATGTTTTATTTCATCAAGTTGCAAGTGCTGACAATGTTATAATGGCAATCTGCTTGGCATCTCATGGGAAAACAGTATTGCAGTTCTGAAAGTCACTCCTCCTGCTATTGTTGACTAACACCAACATGAACTAGTCAGTTTTCCTAAGTCAGAGGCAAAAGGGAAAAGGGGGACTCGGGGATGAACAGGACATTTAGGAAGGATCCCAAATTAAATAGATGGAGGGTTGTTGTTGTTTTAAAAATTTATGTTCTTGCTTTATGACTGTCAGCACAAGTGGTATTCCTTCCCAAGTGTTTCAGATGGCACTGGAAGTCCTCTCCTTGATTATTAATAATTATATACAGTCCCCATAACAAAGTTATGAACTTTCCTCTTGAATTTAAACAGCCAAATGCTAATATTATTGTGTTTTATTGGAAAATTACCACTTTCTACAGCACTTCTCTGCTGGTTTTGAGAATGAAAAATCTGAGATTTATTGAACAAGTCTACATCTAAGGCATGTCTCTTAGCAACAGGAAGGAATGAGCTCAGACCTGCCTGTAGGCTGGTTTTTGTTCTTAATCATCCTAAATATCCCATGAAGACCCTGTCCCCTTTTAAGTCTTCAGAAGACTTCACTTAACCTGTTTTGTCCATCTGTGAGAGCAGTATTGTTCTTCTTGTCCCACAGAAAGTCCCTTTCGCCTCTAGTTTTACCTTCCTGTCCATTAAGTCTATAGGGAGCACATAAAACACTGTTCAAGACTTCTCACTGTTTCTCCACTCCCCTTAATAGAAGGAACTGTAGAAGCACTGATGCAGCGATGCAGAGAACACTCTCTTCTCCCATAGTATGCATGAAAGAATGTGACCAATGGACAAGAAAATACAGCTAATTCCATCAGCTATAATAACCAGCTTTCTGCAAGGTAAAGAACCAGCCTTGTATCTGCCCCATGTCAATGGTGTTAGGTTACTCATTAGCCTTTCACGCGCAAGGTAGTAGCATCTAGGTGAATATTCAGAGGTGTTTTCCTTTCATACAGACTCAGCTGGAAAAAGACAACTTTGTTCACTTCCTTAAATTTGAAAAAAGGCTTTAAAAAAAAAAAAAAAAACAACTCATGGCACTGTTCTGAAATCTAGCAGTAGTTCTGGGTGAGCAGTTGAGATTTTTGAGTAGGTACTCAAACATACTAGGAAAGTGAAGTCAGTGTAATTGTTTCAACAGGTAAAACAAAACCCCCAGATCATAAAAAAATATTCATGTCCCGTTTCATAAGGTATATTCTTTTTGAAAAAATTCTTTATAAGGAGTACTTAAGAATAATTTCAAGAGCAGTTGGATAATGTGAACTTAGGGTAGATTTCAGTAAGTTAGATCTCAGTAAAGTAACACAGGGTTTTTTTGATTTAAAGGTTTTTCCATGAGCTATATTCTTTATGGTGAAGTTAGTAACTATGTTGGGTATCTACAAATTGCAATCTGATTTCCTCTTTAAAAGATCTTAGCTTAATGTATAAGTAGTGATATTTAGAGTGCCAGGGTTTTTGTTTTTTTTATTTTTACAATATTTTTTCAAGTCTTTTTGCGCTAAACCAGTATCTACAAATTGCAATCTGATTTCCTCTTTAAAAGATCTTAGCTTAATGTATAAGTAGTGATATTTAGAGTGCCAGGGTGTTTTTTTATTTTTACAATATTTTTTCAAGTCTTTTTGCACTAAACCAGTGTTTGCAGGAGAGAAAATGCTTCTGTGAAGTACAAAAAAAAAAAAAGTTAAATAGGTTAAGCCCCCTGCCTTCTCAGAACTTTAAATGGGGGAAAAATGAATGTTAAATATACAAAAAAAAAAAAATCTAACATGCAAATTGTAGGAAAGGAGCTTTCAGCTGAAGAAAGTTATTTAGCCCTTTGTGCGATGTAATTTGTGAAGTTTCTTTAACATAGGTTTTCAATTCACATTATTTTGCGTTGTGCTACACTTATTTAAAAACAAGCCCAAAAACTGGCTCACTTTAAAATATTGAGAAATAGAAATGTCCAAATTAGTCACATTTATTTCTCATTTCTCCTTCTGTACTTTCAGATTTTTTCAGCAGTGGGTAGGATATTTCTGCATTCATTCCTCTGTCTCATCATAAATTCCCTAATCTGTACCATAATTGAGTTAAATATTGCTAAAATATCTTCCAGAATGTTAAAATACATTTTTAGGATGTGTCTTGGTCATCTTTTTTGGGGGGGGAGGTGGGTGGATAGCACGCTGAATAGAATTCTTGTAAAATGAAAACAGAAGCTTATCAGGAGTTGACTAGCTTAGGCAATGCTCTAAAATAGAGTATTGTTCTATGTTTATTTTAAACATAGCACTTGCTGTTTAGGAAAATATAAGTTGAGCAGTGAGGGTGTCTTTAATGTTGTTTCCACATGTCCACCTTGTTTAATAGGCTTTCTCTTAAGAACGTCATGAATAGGTCACTTTGAATGTCTGCAAGAAGAAATTGGCACCTCCCTGCAAAGTTATTACAAATAACTATAGATTTTTCCAGGTTTTGTATAATCTTTCCTAGTAACTTCAGAAGTGTTTCCCACTGTCATCTGCTTGTTTGTCACAGCAAAGTGGCTCAAAAGTATGCGGCAGGGGGGAGAGGAACCCTCCAGATTACTTGCCCGTGTTTTCTCTGCAGATGCTTAGGTTTGTCTTGTTCTTTTCCCCTGACTTCCCAGTGTGATGTTTCTGTCCATAAGATATTAAATCACCTAGAAATTGTGCGGCTTCCAAATTCAGTTGGAGTAAAGGCTCATGTCAACAAGGTCAAGGAAAGGGACTTCCAGTCCGTGTTTTAGAAACATTTGTTTCTCCTGGGAATGAATACCATGAGCTTTGAAGGCATATTTAGAAAGGAGGTGGTCTTCACTGTTGTGAACAGCCTTATGTTTTCTTTCAGTTAATGTTTTACACAGTATTTTCTTGGTAGCTTGTTCCTTAAAGGAACTGAATTGCTCTGAAAAGCAAATTCAGCTTCAGATACTGCCTCTTTATTGAAAAAAAGCCCAACAAACCTTTAAAAAAATCATATAGTTCTCAGTCAACACAGAATAGAGGGTATCTGTCCGCAGTCACCTTTACCAATGTGTGTTTCTCAGTGCTTATTCAAACTTGTGCACAAAACTGTGCGCATGCTTAACTGGGAATTTTAATCTTTAACTCCATGGCATCAGAAATAGCATTTTCCATAGGAGCTTTGTTCCGTAGATGTCTGTGGAGCTTGCTTCAGTCCAGTAGGTAGTGAAGACAATTTAAACTGTGATTGTCCTCTAATTCTGGTTACAGGTGACCTGCATATGTTAATTGTAAACTTTGTAGAGCTTTTTATTTTATGTGCTGGTTCTCCGGACTGGAAAATAAGTCTAACTTTTGTAGACCTTTACTTTTTTCAGGTCACTTAATAAGAGATCAAGACTCTAAAACATCTTCTCTAACTGTTTTGATGTTATGTGGCTAGATATATCTTCTTAGTTTCTTTTGCTGTTAATGAATATATGCCCAAAGCATTTTTACTTTTTTTGGTTTTCCCCTACCCACAACTTTTTAGGAATTGATCCCACTCATACTGTGTACAGCCTGCCTGCATCCTGAACCCAAAGAGAGAGATCAGCTTCTACACATACTGTTCAATTTGATCAAACGACCAGATGATGAGCAAAGGTGTGTTTGTATTTGTGTGTTGCGGGACAAGAAGGAACTTTTTTTCTTTGTCAAAGAAGCAGAACTAATAGAAACTGGGTATTAATGGATTATTTTAACCAAGTTTCACTTAAGCTGATACTTTGCTGGTATAGTGTTGACAAATTTATGTGGACTTCGGGACTTTCCATTTCCATGACCTGTACTTTGCTAGTTACTGAAATGTAAGAATGTGCTTGGTAAGCTGCAGTGTAACATTTCAGTTCCTTTTTTGTTTAAAGATGAACTGAAATGCTTTGTTAAAATGAGCTTTAAGATCATAATTCTTAGCAGTGGTTGACATAGAAGTCAAAACAGCTTTTTTAAACCTCTGTCTTAGTGTATCTTAGTGATCTATATGTTTGTAAGTTAACTACCGTGTTTAGTTGGGGAAAATAGAGTGAGAAAATAGTACTCTCCCTACTTATGGTTCAGTACTGTGGTAGCAATAAAAAATTGAGAAGACTGAAGCAGTGATTTCATTCTGACAAGTGTTAAGAGCTTTGTTTTATTTTGGTTAAGACTTTGAAACAAAGTATACTTTTTATTTTGTTTTATAAATTTAGTTCTTCCTTAATACTCAGGAAATCTGGCTTTGTTTGTACAAATCTTGATAAGAATATCCTTAAGGTTGAAAGGTGGTACCCTAGCTGGTATGTTTCCTTCTCTAACTGTGGAAAGATTTTTCATATTTGGTCTGTAGCTTTTCAGTTATTTTCATTAGAGATGTTTTATAAAGCATCTGTATCTATTGTTGCTCTGTTCTGTCTTCAAACAAAATAGGCCTTATGAAATAGGTGGAAGGCATTTCTTTTGAAGATTCTCTGAAACTATAGTGTTCTGGTGTCTTTTTAAATTGTTCCTGTGGTAAAACTTAGAGATGAGCTACAACTGAAAGATAAGGCTTTGGAGACAAAAAAGGCATAAATAAATAAAAGCAATTTCTAGCACAGCGGCACATGCAGATTGAAATTACAAAAAGATGCAGTCCTGTTCTACTTCAGATCATCTACCATTATCTAAAATGTTTTGAATGTCCCATGCAGATTGAGAAGCTGAAATTATTTTGTGGTTGAGGGGGGAATGAAGTTACATGTTGCTTGTAGTCTTTTGTAGTTAATTTGTCACACCATTGGTGGCCTATCAAGCAGATTTTTCATATGCCTGTTTAGCTGCAGTTAGGTGTGTCTTTTCCAGCAGCTAAGAAAGAAGAAAATCCAGGCTTCTTTTTCCTTGAAGTTGTTCGTTCTTTGTTCTGAATTAGAGATTTGTATCTAAAAATAACTAATTTTCATCAGAAATTTGGGAAGAGTATTCTGCCATAACCTCCAGGACAAAATATATATATATACACATAATACATATTTACACACATAAAAATCATAATCTGTTTTAAAGGTGCTGTAACACCTGACTGAAGAATAAGTAAAATTCCATCAAATAAGAGATTCTGAATACAAATTAGATAGAAAATAGTTTTTCAGAATTTCAGCCAGTTTTTTATACTTACTTATGCATATGGAAGTGTATGCATGCTTGTTTTTATCTAAATAAGTTTAAGTAATATTTTTGCAATCTTGTGCAATATGAAATATGCAAAAACATTCAGGTTTAGTCACGAGAACAATGGTATTAGTTATTTCATATGTACTTTATTTACTTTCTGCTATACTGTGCAGGCCTACATTATACATTAAAGTATCATCAGCTGATAACAAGTTGACTTTAATTTGTTAAATGCAAGAGACTGGAATGTGACATTGCATTTCTAGTAATGAACCCATTAAAATAAGTACTTTACTTTGAATATTCACTCTTGTAAAATATGTTAACAATTATGCGGAAAGCCTGTATTATACTTCTTGTCCATGTGAGAGGCTTTTCTTGCCTGCAGATACAGCATATTGCCATGGTCTTGCACAGTAACATTATATTTAACAAGGCCACTTTTATCCTCAAGGCTCTGCTCATTACTCGCTTCTTTTTGGACAATTATGTTGGTTTTGGGAGCTAAGGAGCCATGAAGAAGTCAGATTAATGTTGGGGTCTTTTAGGACAAGTTTAAAACGTAGGTCAACTCTTGAAGATTTCCAAGTAATGTACCCAGAAGCAGCACTGTTCATGAAAAGAGGCTAAAATACATTAAGCTTAGTGTATCTAGTATGACTTTTCATCGGTCATATGATACCACCTCTTACAGAACACACATAACTTGCTGACATATTAAGGAAAACTATTAATTAAGTTTTTAATACAACCTTTAGGAGTGACAAAAGAACCTTGAACTGTGCAATATAAGACTGAACTGCTTACAGTGCATACAGTCACTTTCTAAAACCTCTAGAAAGAGTTTAGAAGTGTTAAATTATGTCTGTTCTAGTCTAATTTCTGCCTTGTTCCTCTAGTCTGATTCTTGATTTCACTTTGGTGTCTGTACTGATGAAGCAAACTACTGCTCTGCTGAATCATACTGATTTGCTTTATGTTCCTGCCTAAGTGATCAGAAGTGCATAACTTGGAGAGAGCTGTTTGAGGACAGCATTCACAGCATCTTGTTAACAAAAGAGATCATTATGAAAATAAGTAGAAAGAAGTTTTTCCCATATCCAGCCTAGACTGCAATTTTGCAACAGCTTAGTGTTAACATTTTTTGTTTCGATGACCTGTTGTTGAGGTCCTTAACAACCTTTCCTTCCCTGAAATAGTGACTGTTGTCATATACTTTTAAAATGGTTACAATAAAATATTTAAACCATTATTTTTTAATATTTTTGCAATATCTTAAATTCCCCTACTTTATAGGCAAAGCAAAAGGAAATCTGAGTTAATTTTGAGATTTCATGGAACTGTTTTGAGAAGGTTTGATTTAAAAAAAAAAAAAATTACGTGTTTTGGTTTTCCCCATTTCTAATGCAGAAGATTTCAAGTGATTACTGTATTCTGCTACTTTTAAAATATATTATAAAAGTATATTCTGTTGCTCAGTTAAGTGTGTAGAACCAAAGACAGGCATTCAAATAACTATTTTGTTTGTTGCAGAACTCAGAATTACCACAGGCTTTTGTCTCCATATTGCTGTCGCATATCAGCTGTTGATTTCTTGAGTCTTGTCTAATCATTTTTGTTTTCCCCCAACCTTTTTACCTTGATCAAAGGTCTAGTTCTCTGTATGTGGTAGAGGGGAGGGGGAAAAAAAAACAAAACAAAACAAACTCACCACACAACAAAACCACAGAGCTTGTTCTGATTGTTGGCCTAAAAAATGCTGGGGGAAAAAAATTCTTTTTAATAGACTATTTCTCCTTGAAAAGATTCCAAAAGTGAATGAGTCTTTTTCTGATGGAGTATATTGTATAACTAGTTAAGAAATAACCAGCAGAATCTCTGCCTTTCAACCTTAAGGGCATACTATTAGCTGCAGTAAATATTTAGGAGTTTAGACATGACACTGAAATGGTAACAAATTAATTTTGGCTTACTTTCCACAAAGTAATAATGAACAAATTCTCAGTGGTGTCTTAATCTTACTGTGGAGGTGATACAATGAGTCTCTCTTGTCCATGTGTTATCCTTTGAAACTGGTTAAGTGTTGTTGTAGGCAGTAAGAGTAAATAGAACTGGTGCATTGCATGCAAAGTTGGTATCATTCCAATCGTATTAACAGGAGAAATAGAAGTAAAAAATCTTAGCAAGGTAAACATTCATTAAGTAAAAGTTAAAATACCACAAATGACAGTTAAGTACAATGTTACTGAAATTTTAAATATATCTCTGTGCCTATGAAATTGATGGAACAACAGTGATTTCTTGCCAAGTTTGAGGAAAACTTAAAAATTATTGTAGATAGTAGATCCCTTTTATAATGGGCTTTATAAGATTTCTGACAAGAGTAAAGTCTAGTATTTTGGTAGAGATGACAGTAACTTGCATGTTAGAGTGTTGCAAAACCATGTCATAAAAGAATTAAGTTACTTGTTTTGAACAAAGTTCATTAAATCTCACAAATGCTTCTAAATAAAAGCAGTACGTGTACTTGACTAAAATACTGATAGTATGATAGGATTAAGTAATTTAGATCCTTTTACTGCATGATGAATGATAGTATTCAGTAATAAGAATTAAATGAGAAATTTAGTCAGAGATTCCCAGTCTTGGACATTAGGAAATCAGATTCCCAAATCAGAGATTCTCACGCTCTGGTTCATGGAGTTTGGGTTCTGCAAGTTTCTGGAAAAGGCATATTAAATATAATACAAGATAGAATCATAGAATAGTTTGGGTTGGAAGGGACCTTTAAAGGTCACGTAGTCCAACCCGACCCCTGCAATGAGCAGGGACAAGTGGCTTGCAATTTAAGATTTAGTCTTTAAGTCAGTGTGTATGGTGTGAAATTTTGACTGTGGACAATTACCTGTTGCCTGATAGCATCTGCTTTTCCTAACTTAAAGAATATATTCTGTATATTATAGAACTTTATAAAGAGGTTAAGGCTTTAAATTTATGTTTTCAGACAGATGATACTGACTGGGTGCGTGGCATTTGCCCGACACGTTGGACCAACACGTGTAGAAGCTGAGCTTTTACCACAGTGTTGGGAACAGGTAACTGATTATTTTGTGCTTTATGCTGGAATATTAGTTAAAAATTCGTAAATGTTGAGTTTTATTTGTTTGAGGGGGCGGTTGTTTTGGTTTTGTTTTTCAATGAATGGCAGTTCAGAGTATTTTTCGAAAGATACTTGCACGTTCTTTCTCTTCATTATATATACTCTTATATAACATTAAAAAGAACTTGAAAATAGAACATTTGTCAAAGACTATCTGGAGATTCTAGTTCCTTGCATATACCTGTATATGTTTGTTGTATTGAAATGTAGATAAGCACATGTTCATCGTCAGTGTTGCCTAACCTACTGCCAGGTAGGTGCCTTTATAATTTTTGCTGTAATTTCCAGACTGTTGGAAATCCATTTTCATTCAAAGATTTAATTCACTGATTTTTATATTGTCTTAAGTCCCTGGAGCAGTTTCCACACTTCAGCTAGTTTAAATTCTTAAACAGATAAATAAAGATCAAAGTAGTCAGAAGTAAGTCCCCTGTAGATTGGCACGATTTTACACCTGTAAGATCAGCCTGAAGTTTACATGTGAATTCTAGAATCACAGTGATCTTTCTCACAGATATTTTAAATTAATACAAATAACTGAACAACCAAACTGCAATGCTCTTACTGTTTCATCTGAGGCATAGAAACAGAACATGAGTTCAGGTGAAAATGCATGGTATTTTCCTACCATAATGTAGAAATCATCATTGCCTAAAAGACGGTGAATAACTAAGCCATGACAGAGCGGTAATGCTTGCTTTGATGGCACAGTCTTTGTGATTTGATAATTGTCTACTGTTTCTTGCATAATGCAGCCATCTGTGTTTCACAATAAAGTCCAAGCTTTAATGCTTTCTGACAGTAGAAGTATGTGTTATATGCAGCATTTGCACTTATATGTATGACTGGTATATGTATTGATTAAATGAAGGACTCATGGCAATAGTAGTTGAACACAAAATAAACCACATTTTGTTTTCCTAGTCCTTCTCGTGAAATTTAAAGTGTTTGCACAAAAAAAACCAGTCTCACCTCAGTAAGAGCACATCTTCATCATACCAGTTTCTTGCTAATTGCTGATGCAAAAGAGAAACCGGTCCAACTGTAACAGTACAGCATATCAGGCTGCCAAGCCGTATGTCATCATGCATTTATTTAATGCAGTTTGCCAGACTTTGCAGTACTGAAACCAGGTCATTATTTTCTCCGGCAAAATACCAGCGGAATCTCATTGTCACAAGACTGAGTTTGTAGAAGGAACTCAAAAATACACATAATTTTTTACCTTTTCTCAGTAGATGCTTTAATTGTGAAAGCATTTATGCAGTTGGTCTCTAACCAAAATCTATTTACAAATGCAAAGGACTGGGCCCTCGGAAGATTCAGCATTTTCGTCCACATGTTCTGGAGCTCAGTTATCAGGCTAGTCCTTGTGATCTTCCTACCTCCTCTTCACAGGTAGAATTTGGTAGCTGGCTCATCTGAGTTTAGATCAAGGCTCTGTGAATGCTAAAAGTTTCCTCAGAACTAGTGACCAGTTAATTGGCTTCCAAAATTGTACTACTGCTTATTAAAGACAAAAGGAAAAGAAATGGTAATAAACATTTTACAGTTATGTTTATGTTTCCAAGGGCTAATAATCTTCCCTAAACACAGACCTTGTGGAAATTTTGAGTCTTTTTTCCTCCAGTGTGTCAGTATGTCTTTGCAATATCAGGGGTGATTTTTTATATTGCCCTGCCAGTCCACCTAAACCAGTTGAAACTAGTCTTTGCTGTTTTCCTCAGGTAGGCAGAGCTCCAGACAGCAAAGTGTATCTCTGTTACCAGTAGGGAATTTGCTTTTGGAAAGATGGCACATAAGTCAAAGACACTATAGGTATTAAAGCAGCCTGTTGCATGCCCGTAATGTTTCTCATCTATGAAAACTTCATACTACCAAAAAATACTACAGGTGCCCTACTGATGAATGAATGCAAAATAATGATAGACACACTGGAAAGAACTTTCTCCCATGCTTGAGACTTCAGTTTAGTCCTGAGGCTTATGATTTATTCGAGACTCTTTCAAATGATCTTTGGCACACTTCATTCTGGAGAGAGTTCTTGGTGATTTCAGATCAGAACAGTGAGAAAGTTTGAAGACATTAATACTACATCAGTAGTCAGGTACCACTGTTCAGTGTGCTGTGGAAATAAAGTCAAGGTAAGAAGTTGTCCAAAGTTGATTTACTACAGTGTCTTCATCTGTAGTTTCTCCTAAGCCAGTAGAATTGAGAGAATCACAGAATGGCTGAGGCTGAAAGGGACCTTTGAACACCTTGTAGTCCAATCCCCCTGCTTAAAACCGTCAGCTAGAGCAGGTTGCCCAAGACCAAGTCCAGTCTGGTTTTGAATATGTCCAAGGATGGAGGCTCTGTAACACCGCTGGGCAACGTGTTCTGAGGTTTGGCCACTCTCCCAGTAAAACAGAATTTCCAGTACTTCATTTCCTCTTGTCTTTTCATTGGGCATCTCTGTGTTCTTTACCTCTCTGCAGTTAGGTACGGACATTTATACATACGGATAAGATCCCTCCTGAACGCTCTCTTCACAAGACCAAACAATCCCAGCTCTCTCAGCCTCCCCCAATATATCAGATATTCCTATGTCTTGATCATCTTCACGTCTCTCCGCTGGTCTTGCTCCAGTACGTCTTTGTCTTTGTAGCTGGGAAACCCAGAACTGTACACAGCACTCCAGATGTGGTCTCACCAGTGCTGAGTAAAGAGGGATAATTACTCTCCTTGCCTGCTGGTGATGCTTATCCCAGTGCTGCCCAGGATATCATTGGCCTTCCTTGCTGCAAGGAGTGCATTGCTGGCTCTGCTTGGTATCTGTCAGACCCTCCAGGTCCTTCTCTGCTAAGCTGCTTTCAAGCCAATTGGCCCCCAGTCTGTCCTGGTGCATGGGAATTATTTCTGCTCAGGTTCAGGACTTTGCACTTTCTTTGCACTTTCATAAGGGTCCTGTCTGTCCATTTCTCCAGCCTATTGAGGTGCCTCTGAATGGCAGTACACCCATCTGGATATATCAACCACTCCTTCCAGTTTTGTGTCATCTGCTTACCTGTTGAGGTGCCTTCTCTCTTGTCATCCAGGTCATTAATGAAGATGTTATACATCTTTGTTGTTGGCCCCAGAATCAACCCCACCTCACTGTCCTTACCTAGCCCAGACTTCATCAGTTTGAATGAGGATGTTATGGGAAAAAGTATCAAAAGTCTTGCTGAGGTCAAGAAAAACAATATTCACTGCTCTCCCCTTGTTCATTGAGCCAGTCATCTTGGAAAGCTATCAGGTTGGTCATGCATGGTTTTTCCTATATAAATACATGCTGACTATTCCCAAACACCTTCTTGTCCTTCGTATGTTTGCAAATGCTTTCCAGGATTAATTGCTCCAAAACCTTCCCAGGAACTGATGTGAGACTGACTGGCCTGTAGTCCCCTGGATCCTCTGTCTTGCCCTACCTGAAGGTAACAGTGACATTTGCTTTCTTCCAGTCCTCAAGAATCTCCCCCATTGCCACAACATTTTGTTGATTTGTCAAAAGTGGTCTTGCAGTGACATCAGCCAGCTCCCTCAGCACTCAGTGGGGTGCATCCTCATCAGGGCCCGCAGACTAGTGTATGTCCAATTTGTTTAAATGTTTCCTAACCTGATAATTCTCTACCAAAGGTAAGTCCTTCTTGCTCCAGACTTCCGCATGGTTTTTAGGTATCTCAGACTACTGAAGGCAAGTCTTCCCAGTAAAGACCAAGACAAAGAAGGCAGTGAGTACCTTGGTCTTTTCCACGGTAAGATGGTTGTCTTACCAAGGCTATACACTGCATAGCAAGAGAGAAAGAAACAGTCGCACCGCATGCGTATTCTAATTTATCTGACAGGATCAAACTGTTCACATTTCCCTCTCGCTATTTTACCCTAAAATTTTTTATTCACAAAGTATATTGGAACATATCATGTTTCATTGTACAACCATTACACTGGCCATTAAAGCTGACTCCACCAGGATGCAAACTTGGTTCCGAAGTGTCGATACTAAATTTGTAAGGCAGAATTTTCAAATAGCCTTTGAGTGGAAAGGCAAGGTAGCACAGGATCAAGAGGTTCTTGGGAATAGGAACTGTTTTCAGTCACATTTTAGAGGCGTAACATGTTTACGCTGGACTTGAGAGCAGAACTTCAATAGCATGCAAGTATTCTTTGGCTTAGTACGTGTGTCTTCTTTTGACCCCAATTGCTCAGCAGGACCTAGGCAGCTATGCTACACGGGTTGGCTTAGAGCGCTAGAGGGCACTTGTGTAGTTCTTAGAGGAACAGTGCTCCTGAAGGGCTACACAAGACAAAATATTTCATGACATGCCAGCTCAGAAGTTACTCATATTCTTTAAAGTACAGCAGCCCATATGCTGCTTTCCACCCTTCTTTTTACTGCATATACATACATGCTTCTCCAATTCTTCTCTTACTATAAGCTCTATTTTATAGGACAACTAGAGAAGGCTGTGTATCTGCCTTGCCTTTATGCCTCAGTGCAAGAATTTGAGGTTGCTTAGTACGCATATGCAACTTCTACAGGCACAGTCAATGTTTATCTAAGAGGTCCGGACGTATCCCTCCATTGCAGTTCATTCTAACCACATTTTGAATACTGGTTACTGCAAAGCAAATAGCCATTCTGTTTCTCTTTACCAGATCAACCACAAATACCCAGAGAGACGGCTACTGGTAGCAGAATCCTGTGGAGCTCTAGCACCTTACCTTCCAGTAAGTATTAATACTGAATCGAAATACTTTGCTAGTGAAAGCAAGGTGAAAATCTGTTGCATAACGTAAACATCCTTTATCACCTTACATATTCCCAAGTGTGTTATGCATAGACAGTCACATTGTCTTCTACTTTATATCACACATGTGAGATTCAATAAATCACATTAAGGAGGAGATAGCTTACTGTAAAAGGAATACAGGTCAATCTAGCTATAAAATGTCTTTAAACCCAGTATGTTCTGAAATAATCATCTTTGTTTCAGTAAGGATGAAGTAAAGATAGTTAGGACCAATTAAGGAAATAATCTCTGAAAAAATAATTGGCACCCAGTAATAGAGTTCTTCAGACACTGTGGAAGTTACATGAAGAGTGCTGCCAGTCAGAAGCAGCAGCAAAATTAAGTCAGTGGCAAACTAGAATTTGAAGCTTCGGAGAAAGAGGAAAATAACCGAAATTAAAAATGCAGTTCTCCAATTTATCAATATACTGATTAAAGACTCTGTTTTAAGTCTAGGCCTATAGTAGGGTTTTGCTGTTAGGTTTTTTTTTTCCATATGAATTAAAGGACCCGAGTTCTGTGCTTGGTAGGACAAAAGGCTCTCTGATGAGGCTACTGACATTTTATATTCATTCATCTTCTGTAGTGAAAACTGAATGTGTAATATTCATAAAGGGATCTATGGTTGGAGGCAGGGATTTTTTTTTTTTGTGAGCAAATCATAAAAATTGATACAAACCCACATTTCTTGTTTCATTGGATTTAACAAGTATGTTTCTTGTTTACAAACAGAAAGAAATCCGTAGTTCATTAGTACTTTCCATGCTGCAGCAAATGCTAATGGAAGATAAGGCAGATCTGGTACGAGAAGCTGTGATCAAAAGCCTTGGCATCATTATGGGATATATTGATGATCCAGACAAATATCAACAGGTAAAATTTGGTTTGGGTTCTCTATGTATAAAATGTTTTCTATAGTTATTTCATGAATTGGGGGGATGCATAATTTCATGAATTTTTACCAAATCCTTCCAGATACTTTTAAATATTTTGATGGTTTATATGAATGTTGATTTTATTGTATCAGCAAGATCAAAAAGAAAATGTGTACTCAAAAGTATCATTAGAACCTTGGGCATAAGCCTTATACAGAAGTTTCTCTAGTAACTCATAATTTGCATTCAAGAACATACCACTTCATTGCACACCTGATACTATTAGCCAATTTGATATCATCAGTTGCTAACAGAGATTTGTCTACTACAACAAAGCCTACTTGTAGTTCAGCTTAATACTGCCTAGTAATGTTTCAGATAAGTGAAAATTAAGAACTTCTAATTCTGTCTTTGAGTTTTTGAAGGCAGAGTGGTAAAATGTGTTTGTATTGATGCTGATAACTTGACTGTAGAGAAATACTAGCAGGATTATTGAACCACCTACTGTTTACCTTTGTATATGTGGTGGGAATATCTGTTGAAAGGCCTCCGTGTACTACCTTGTTTTATTTTTATTAGTGTAAAGTTTTAAAAATAGATTATAATCTTTTTCTAGTCTTCATGTTTTGTTTGGGAAACTTCAGCATAAATTTTAGGAAAATAATTACATTCTTTATTGTCTTTTGCCAGGGCTTTGAACTGCTGCTTTCAGCTTTAGGAGACCCTTCAGAACGTGTAGTTAGTGCAACACATCAGGTATTTTTACCTGCTTATGCTGCCTGGACAACAGAACTGGGAAATTTACAGTTCCATCTTATACCAACACTGCTTAGTAAAATTGAAAAATTGCTCAGGGTATGTGTTCAGCTGTTTTCCACATTGGAGAATTTTCTTTGTATCTTTATTACATATGCAGGCTTTTTTAAAAAATACAAAAATGTAAATAATTGCTACTTAATGTTCTGTGGTGGAAAATTTTTCTGGAGATCCTTGTTGTAACTCCATAACTTTCACTCGTCCTTTGGAAGAAGGATTAAAAATACCAACACCAAAACCCCAACAACCAAACATATTCTTTAACAATATTTTGCTTTATAGCCCAGTAATCAAAGTGCAGTTCAGAAAACATTTGCTAGGGACTGTGACCAGATGATATGTGTTATTCTGAGTGCATTTGCCCTGTATTTAAATTGTTTTAAGTGTCACATACTGTAGTTTTTAATAAAGTATAATATTTATTAAACAAAAAAAAAGTAGAATTGAATGGTTTAGTTAGGTTGTTTGCAATTATGAGCCACTTTGTCTGCACGCTTGATTTGGTAGATATCTGGAAAGTTCTGGAAAATAGGGTATCTCATAATGCTCTAACACACTTAACCAACGTGCTTGTTTTCAGAGTACAGGCAACTAGTTTATTCAGTTTTTAGATGCATTGGTCTCTGAGACCAAGGATTCACATTTCCAAAATGTGCTCAGAAATGTTCTTTCAGAATATCAGTATGTTTATCGACATGAACTACTAAATGCTGAAGGCTGTATTGCTTGAATCTTTTGAGTAGAAGTGATTTAAGGGTAACAGGGGGATTTGGGTGGTAACACAAAGCTTGTTGTTAGGATAAATGGCTATATAATTAGTGTCTCTGTGTAGAAGCTCATCACAGATGTGTTGATCTCTTGCCAGAGAATACATGCCTAAGCAACAGATCATCCAAACCAAAAACTTTAAGTAAATGTCCTGTTTGTTTCAGGAAGGAGAACATGGCTTGGATGAACATAAGCTCCACATGTATCTGTCTGCTCTGCAGTCATTGATTCCTTCACTGTTTGCACTGGTGCTACAGAACGCACCTTTCACAAGCAAGGCTAAACTTCAGGGAGAAGTACCACAAATAGAAGGTAAATTATTAATTTCTGGTATGTGGAATTTTTGTAAACTTATGTATAATTCAGTGACAAATCTCAAATCACTATTAACAGCAAAGGAAGAATTTCAGGAAATAGTCCATAGTCCACATTTACTTGGGATTTGTGTGTATTTAAGGTTACTACATAAATGTAAGTTGCAGAATCTATGTGTAGACTTCAGATTTTTAGAGTACACTGATCATTTAAGTTTATGTCTACAAACCTTTTTTTCTAATCCACCTGTTCTTTATGTTGGATTTTCATATGTAACAAGTACAGTGAAAGAAATTTCAGAGAACCTCTGTCAAGTTGTGAATTTTCTTTTTTTAATGTTGCTGAGTTGACAGAATTAAAAAAAATTTCTTTTTTTTTTTTTTTTTAAAGGCAGATTCCAGCATAGGAAGATTTGTCTTGACTTGTCATGACTTTTTTCTGGTTTTGCCTTTTTGGGAAAACATATTTTGACTTCCTTTCCTCCCTCTGCTCCTACTTCATTCCTATGAAAAAAATCAGTCTGGCATGAACCCTTATCAGATATTTAGCTAATTACAAATATCAGCTTATTGATGCAAAAAAAATATGTAAGTTGTGAATATTTACCAAATGATTGCCAGTAGAATAAAGGAGAACTATAAGGTATCCTTTGGGATTTTTTTTCCTGTATGTATTTAGCAGTGTTACAGGAAAAATGGCTTTGTACCCGGTGACATAGCTTTATGTAATCCAATGAGAGTCTCGCAATGAAATACTTTGTTGTCCTAATACACAACATAAATTGGGGGTGGGGGGGGAAGTACAGTTTAGCCTTCTGATTTGCCTCTTAAATGTTTTTTCATATTGGTCTCCCTTAGCAAATCCTTAAGTAATGCTTCCTTTTTCCACACTTGAGAGACCTGATTATCACAAAAGTTATTATTTCATCTCTCATTATTTCTTTCTACTTCTTAAAAGAAGCTTTTGAGAAAGAAAAGCAATCCTTGATTGGACTTCATAAAGGTTTCTGAAGAATTGATTTCCACTAATAGCCAATAGTAGCTCAAGAAGGCTGGCTTCAGTTTCAGTTAACTCTTACAAATAAGAGATGTTATGAATTGGGAAAAACACAGCCTAGTGCAGGAGCTTCACCATCTATTATGTATCTATGTAATACCTTAGCAGACTGAATGGCCTCATAATGAAGTTATACTTTGATCAGCAATGCTAGCCTGTAGAATGCTTTCTTCTGTTACAAATACTTTTTAAAGGTATTATTGGTAATACCTGCCATATGCTGATAATAGTGCTCTGTGTGAAGATGCAGAGAAAGGGTAACAACTTTAAAGGAGAATTTGGAAAGCAGCTAGTGGTATGTTACTGTACAATAATAATGTGAAAATGTTAAACATGCCATGGTAAAACTAGTTCAGCTGACTTGAGTCATTTGAAGATGAGCACTTTTTCCCTGAGTGGCTGCTACTTAAATGAGGAATTAAAAAATTTCAGGCTTCAGCCTAGTCAGACAGTTTCTTCCTCCACAAAAGTGGAGGAAAAAAATCTCATGTACTTTTCACTAATCCAGTAGCATTGCAGGAACTGCAAGCTTGCTTTCTTGAATTTTGCAGTAGGAAAGATTATGTTCTTGTTGCTTAACTTAATTGCTGAATAATTTTAAGTATGCTTTACATGAATTGAGAGTAATAAAATCAATGTTGGTGTAGCAGGCTTTCAATCCCCAGATATTTTAATGGTCTAGAATTTTTTTGAGGTCTTGTTTTTTACGTGTAAACTATTCTCTTCTGATAAGTCAAATAATTAAGGAATTGGGGGAGGGAGTAGGGAGTGTCAAAAAAGACTTCATATATGAAGGATGGAGCAGTTAGGTGATTAAAGTGTAGTGGTGGAAGTCAGAAAACCTTGTGTGCAAGTCGCTCTACTGTAAATCTGCAGTGTGTTCTTTGGGATCATAGAGTAGTTTGGGTTGGAAGGGATGTTTAAAGGTCAGCTAGTCCCACCCTCCTGCAATGAGCAGGGACATCTTCAACTAGATCGGGTTGCTCAGAGCCCCATCCAATCTGACCTTGAATGTTTCCAGGGATAGGGCACCTACAACCTCTCTGGGCAGCCTATGCCACTGTTTCACCACCCTCATTGTAAAAAATTTCTTCCTTATATCTAGTCTAAATCTGCCCTCTTTTAGTTTAAAATCATTACCCCTTGTCCTATCACAACAGGTCCTGCTAAAAAGTCTGTCCCTGTCTTTCTGTAAGCCCCCATTAAGTACTGAAAGGCCGCAATAAGGTCTCCCCAGGGTTTCTCTTCTCCAGGCCGAACAACCCCAACTCTCTCAGCCTTTTCTCAACAGGAGAGGTGTTTCATCCCTCTAATCGTTTTTGTGGCCCTCCTCTGGTCCTGCTGCAACAGGTCCATGTCTTTCCTGTACTGAAGACTCCAGAGCTGGACGCAGTACTCCAGATGGGGTCTTGCCAGCACAGAGCAGAGGGGCAGAATCACATCCTTTGACCTGCTGGCCACGCTTCTTTTGATGCAGCTGTCCTGGTTTCGGCTGGGATGGAGTTAATTTTCTTCCTAGTAGCAGGCATAGTGCTGTGGTTTGGATTTAGTAGGACAAGAATGTTGATAACACGCTGATGTTTTTAGTTGTTGCTAAGTACTGCTTATGCTAGTCAAGGACTTCTTTCTCAGCTTCCCATGCTCTGCCAGGTACACAAGAAACTGGGAGGGGGCACAGCCAGAATAGTTGATCCAAACTCACCAAAGGGCTGTTCCATACCATATGACGTCAGGCTGAGTATATAAACTGGGGGAGGGGGTTGGCCGGGGAGCAGCGA